CTCCAGCCACCCCACCCCAGCCCCCGTGCAGCCACCGCCACCCCCTTGCCCTCCGCTCCACATGCAGCCACTGCTACCCCCCGCCCCTTTTCCTCCCCCACGTCTGGCCAGAAATCTGTGTCGCAGGTACACCAGCACAGTGGCACTTTTAGCTTACCAGCACCACCCGTTTTTCAGGTCAAATCCCTGTTAACCAACACGAGTGCATTCCCCACTCGTGCCGGTTAACAGGAATTTGAACTGAAAAACAGGTGTAAATCAGTAAAATCCAAATGACTTTAAAAAAGAAATCAGGGAATTTATCAGAGAAAATCAGTAAAAACCAAGAATGTGGAACACTATGCATGAACTACTCCATCCACACTAAGGAGGAGCTCCAATCCCTGCTACTACCCACCCTTCTCTCACCTCCTACTAGGGAGGGTAGTGGCCATGTCGTGCTTGCTCTCCACTCTGAACTTAGGTTTCCCTTATGCCCCTGCCTGAGACACAACCTGGGCTGATCTCAACAATGTTTGTTTCTGACAGGAGCTATTTCACAGGTAAACAGGAAGGGGAGGCATTGATATGAAGGAGATTGTGAAAGAGGGAAAAGTTCAGTAGATAAGAATAATCAGGGCCCCTTCCCTTACCTTCCTGTGTAGTTACGAATTACAGCATCCTATTAGTCTCTGGTCCCACCACACCACAGAAACACCAATTATGTCTAGTGTGTAGTACAAAGGAGCGGGTACCAGTTGCTTAATGATAGGGCTTGTTTTACAACTTGTTCTTGGGTCCCTTGGCACCAACTGGGGCCAAGCAGCATGATCGACACATCCCTTCTGTCTCTTTCCCAAGCTTTTCCCCTGACACTCTCAGGGCTGGACACTCCACACACGTACCCTGGTGCTCACCTTCTCCGTGCAAAAATGACATAACTACTTCATGGGTGTTAGTTGTAGCCATGTCAGTCTAAGGACATAGGCAGACAAGGTTCTTTGGGTAAATGTGATATCTTTTATTAGGCCAACTAAAAGTTGAAAAAATTGTTCTTTGCAAATTGTTCTTTCAGACACAAACACTCTTCTTCAGGAATAGGGAGAGTCTGCTGTTTTTTTTGTGCTCTCCTGGGTGGAATAGAAGCCAATATGCATAATGCAGGTCTGTGAAAATGCAAACGTGTGGCAGTGAGGACCAGAGTCCTGGGAGACAATAGGTGTGAGATGGGGAGGGTATGTTGACCTGGTGATAGAATGTAACGTAAAATGTAGAGAGGTTACCTGGGGTTATCAGATGGCAGGCAGGTTATAGCGCGCCATAAATCCAGTGTCTATATTTAGTCCATGATTTTAGTCATAGCTATTTAATTAAGTTTGGTGATACTCTTCTGTATAAAACTGGCTTGTGTGCAAGCAAATATACTAGCACCAACTTCAAGCATTTAAAAATCACAAGATAACCCCCAAATCATGAGACTGCCTGAAAGATAGGGTAAGCATAAGGAAATCTGGGACATTTGGGACACTATCCCCCTCCCCACCCAAATCAGCGGTGCTAGTGCAGGCAGTGGCAGGGGCCAGCGGCCAGGGGCAAGGGTGCAGTCCGGAAGAGAGACAGAGCTGCCTGGCATACCGTGCAGCTCTGTCTCTCTGCTAGACTGTACCCCATGCCCCTTATATTCTGGGATTCTCATTTTAATTTTCACCAACCAACTGGGATCATCAGCCTTTGGACCAGCCAGCAACCAGGGAGCCAGTGAGCAGGGTAAGCAATTTGCAGGCAGTTTGCTGGGAGGGAGCAAGAGGAGGAAGGGGAAGAGAAACCAGGCACCAGATCCTGCCCAGGGAAAGTAAGTGAACCAGAACTGCCTGTGCCTTTGGCTTGATGACTGTTTTTGTCTGGTGGGCTGAGTATATTTGGGGAGTGTGCTCTGAGAAGCTGGCAGTGTTCCTAGCTGAGTGATTGCTGATTGCTGAGTGATTGCTGCCTGTGTCTGATAGATGCCCTAACGAGGGGGTGGAGTCTGTCCGGGCTCAGCAGGGTATAAAAAGAGACTCCTTAAGCTACTAAAGAGCTAGTGATTAGGGGCTGCAAACAGGGTAAGCAGTTTGCAGGTCAGTTTGTTGTCCTTTCCCCCCCCCCTTGCCCTTTTTGAGGAGAGAGCCTTTCAGCTTGGTGTAAGGAAGCAGGAAAAGAGGGGCCAATGAGGAGTAAACAGGCCAGCTTCCAGGCAAGTTTGCTAAGGAAGGTGTGCTTGAATGAAGGGCAGTAAGAGAGAGAAGGCAGATTAAGAGACCCAGGAAAATGGCTGGAGAACATCACAATGCCAGAGCCACTGCCATTGCCTCTGCTTGCACCTGTGAGTCTTCTGTCCAGGCAGGACGGCTCACCATCGAGGCTTCTACCCAGGTCCAGGTTTGGCACTGTGGGGACTGTGGCTTGCAAGTTTCTTCCAGTGATGGCCAGGTCTGGGGGTTCCTGAGGTGTGTGCCGTGCCTCCTGGTGGGGTGTCTCGGGGAACAGGCAAGACAGCTACAGGAAGAGGTGGTGAAGCTTCAGAGCATCTTCTGCTGTGAGGAGTTCATTGATTCAATGCTGAAGGAGATCTCTGGGACTGTGAGCAAAGAACTACCAGAGGCACCACTAGAGAAGAGAAAGGACATGGACTTCCAGGAGGGTGGAAGCTGGAAGCTTCTGACCTTGCAGCAAGCAGAAATCTTAACCTTCACCTGCAGCAGTTCATCTGGAGAACAAATATGGAGTCCTAGCAACAGAGGGCAAGGAGCACGTCCCATTGGTGGAGGACCACAGGCTAGGCCTCACCAAATTCAGAAGTATCAAGACAACCACCACCAAGAAGAAGCAATGGGTGGTGGTGGTTGGAGATTTCCTTCTTCAGGGGATGGAGGGAGCCATTTGCTGCCCAGACTTGTCACCTCGGGAAGTCTGCTGCTTGCCCAGATCCCAGATACAAGCTATACCGGAGGGATTACCGAGGTTCATCTGGTTCCCTGACTGGTACCCCATTCTGTTCATCCATGTGGGCAGCAATGAAACTGCCAGGAGAGACCCTCAACAGATCAAAAGTGACTACAGGGCTCTGGGCGCCAGGGTGGGGGGGGGTCTGGGCCTCCGGTTGTATTCTCTTTGATCCTTCCCGTCAAGGGAAAGGCCACAGGCAGGAGTGGGTACATCTTGCAAATCTATACCTGGCTGCACAGGTGGTGTCACCAGCAGGGCTTTAGCTTCTTCAACCATGGGGTGTTGTTCCAAGAAGAAAGATTGCTGGGAAGAAATGGGATCCTGACAGAGAGAGGGAAGAGCATCTTTGCAGACAGGTTCATTAACCTAGTGAGGAGGACTTTAAACTAGGTCTGCTGGGGGATAGAGACCAAAGTCCTGAGGTGAGTGGGAAAGCAGGTGACCTGGAGGAAGAGCAAGCAGAAAGGAGCAACAGGGGAAGTGTTTTCATTTTTCTTGAGAAATCAAGGCAATCGACTAGTTAGCTTAGGTATCTGTACACGAATGCATGGACCCTGCAAAACAAACAGAAAGAATTGTAAGTCCTTGCACAGTCATGGAACTATGATGTGATTGGAATAGCAGAGACATGGTGGGAGCTCACATGATTGGAGCATTGTCATGGATGGGTACTAACTGTTCAGGGAGGACAGGCAGGGGAGAAGAGGAGGAGGAACTGCACTTTATGTAAAAGCTGTATGATTGCTCAGAGCTCCAGTATGAAAATGGAGATAGGCCTGTTTAAAATTTCTGGGTTAATGTTAGAGGGGAGAGCAACAAGGGTGACATTGTTGTGGGTGTCTGCTATAGACCACCAGACCAGGAGGATGAGGTAGATGAGGCTAGTGGAAGTAGTGCTGATCATAGGCCCTGGTTCTCATAGGGCACTTCAATCACCCTGACTTCTGCTAAGAGAGCAATACAGCAGCGTGCAGACAATCTAGGAAGCTTTTGGAGAGTGTTTGGGACAACTTCCTGGTACAAGTGCTGGAATGGCCAACAAGGGGCCATGTTCTTCTTGACCTGCTGCTCACAAACAGGGAAGAATTGGTAGGGAACATAGAAGTGGATGGCAACTTGGGCACCAGCAACCATGAGGCCATTGAGTTCAGGATCCTGAAGGAAGGAAGGAAGGAGAGCAGCAGAGTAAAGACCCTGGACTTCATAAAAGCAGACTTTGACTTGCTGAGGGACTTATGGGCAGGATCCCCTGGGAAGCCAAACTGAGGGGGAGAGGAGTCCAGGAGAGCAGGCTGTATTTTAAAGAAGCCTTACTGAGTGCGCAGGAGTAAACCATCCTGATGTGCGGGAAGACTAGGAAGTGTGGCAGAAGACCAACTTGGCTTAACTGGGAGCTCTTTAGTAAACAGTCACAAAAATCAAGCTTATCAGAAGTGGAAACTTGCACAAACAACTAAGGAGTAAGAGTATTGCTTGGGCATAAAGAGATGAAGTCAGGAAAGCCAAAGCACAATTGGAGTTGCAGCTAGCAAGGATTAAAAGAAGGGTTTCAACAAGTATGTCAATGGCAAAAGGGGGATTGGAGAAAGGCAACCTAATAGGGGAGGCAACCTAGTGGCAGAGGATGCAGAAAAAGCTGATGTGCTCAATTGCCTTTTTCACCTCAGTCTTCACAGGCAAGGTCAGCTCCAAGACTACTGCACCTAGCAGTATAGTTTGGGGAGGCGGTGAGCAGCCAACAGTGGTGAAAGAACAGGTTAGGGACTATTTAGAAAAGCTGAATGTGTACAAGTCCATGGGGCTGGGTGTAATGCACCTGAGGACGCTGAGGGAGTTGGTGATGTAATTGCAGAGCTACTGGCCCTCATCTTTGAAAACTCATGGCAATCAGGAGTGGTCCCAGATGATTGAAAAAGGGCAAATATAGTGTCTCTCTTTAAGAAAGGGAAGAAGGAGGATCCAGACAACTTCAGACTGGTCAGCCTCACCTCAGTCCCTGGAAAAATCATGGAGCAGGTCCTCAAGGAATCCATTTCTAAATACTTGGAGGAGGAGAAGAAGGTGATTAGGTACAGTTGGCTTAAATTTACCAAGGGCAAGTCATGCCTGACCAACCTGACTGCCTTCTATGATGAGCTCTGTGGATGTGGGAAGGGCAGTGGATTTGATATACCTTCACTTTAACGAGGCTTTTGATATGGTCTCCCACAACTTTCTTGCAAGCAAGCTAAGGAAGTGTGGATTGGGTGAATGGGCTGTAAGGTGGATAGAAAACTGGCTGGATCATCAGGCTCAAAGGGTAATCAGTCAATGGCTCAATATCTAGTTGGCAGCTGTTCTGAAGTGGAGTGTCCCAGGGGTCGGTCCTGGGACCAGTTTTGTTCAATATCTTCATCAATGACATGGATGATGGGTTGGAGTGCACCCTCAACAAGTTTGCAGATGAAACCAAGCTGGTAGAGTAGTAAATATGGTGGAGGGTAGGGCTAGGATTCAGAAAGACCTAGACAAATTGGAAGACTGGACCAAAAGAAATCTCGAGGTTCAAGAAGGACAAGTGCGAAGTCCTGTACTTACGACAGAACAATTACACCAGTATAGTCTGGGGGCCAACTGGCTAAGCAGTGGCTCTGCAGAAATGGACCTGGGGTTACAGTGAACAAAAAGCTGAACATGAGCCAACAGTATGTCCTTGTTGTGAAGAAAGCTAATGGCATGCTGGGCTGCATTAGTTGGAGCATTGCCAGCAGATCAAGGGAAGTGATTGTTTGCCTCTATTTAGCACTGGTGAGGACACACCTGGGGCGTGTCTACATATGATGCTACATAGCTGTAGCAAGACACTACGGCAACATGGCATTGGTGGGCAGAAACCATGACACCACAGCTACATAGCCGTAACGACATACTCATTTGGTATAGAGTGTAATTTCAGTAATGTGAGGCTAAAAATAACCATGTGCTGTGTGGATGGTGCTGTTACTGCACTGTCATTTAGTATTACCAAAAAGAAGTGCTAAATGACAGTGCTGTAACAAGGGTGCCATAGGGGCATGTGCAAACATGCCCCTGGAGTTCTAGAAAAGGCACTAGAAAATGTCCAGTTTGGTGTCCCCCACTACAGAAAGGATCTAGACAAATTGCAACGTTCAGCAGAGGGTAACAAAAATGGTGAGGGAAATGGGACACATGACTTACAAGGAGAGGCTGAGGGAACTGGGCATATTTGGTATGGAGAAAAGAAGGCTGAAAGTAGTCGCAGATGACAGAACAAGAAGCAATGGTCTGAAGTTGCAGCAAGGGAAGGTTAGTTTAGATATTATGAAAAACTTTCTCATGAGGAAGGTTGTAAAGCACTAGAACAGGTTACCCAGAGAGGTTGTGGAATCTCTATCCTTGGAGGTTTTTAAGACCCAGGTAGACAAAGCCTTGCCTGGGACGATTATAGGTGGATATGGTCCTGTTCTGAGCAGGGGGTTGGACTAGATGACCTCCTGATGTCCTTTACAATCCTTATTTTGTATGACTCTCATTTAGCCAAACAGCTTATGCCTCTTTCTGGAGTTCTGGGAGCTCATTCATAGGCAGTCTCACATACTCTTTGTCAGCTGCCTCTTCAGCTCACCAAGTTGTCCTACAAAGCAAGTACCAACAGTTAGCCAAGGTTGTCTTGCTTCACCAGAAAGAGACTGTTTTCCAGTAGCTCCAGGTGGCCTGGCTGTTGAGTCCCCTGAGATTCAACACCCGACAGACAGGTTTATTTTGATGCTTGGGAAGTGTAA